GTGCTGACAGGATACCGCACGGATATAGAAATAGCACAAATCTTCAAACTGTTTCTTCGGCTAAAAGACGCAAAAAGGAAACCAATCTAAGCAAGAGAAACAGTTTGAGTAGCAAAAAACAATGCGAGAGGAGGCCGGGATGAAAGTGAGTAAAACTGCAAATACTGGCTAACTCTCATGACGCTTCGGTTTCTGACAGTGTCGACGGTGTGCCCCCTAGCAAGCTGGGTATAGAGACGGCGACTTGCGCTGCATCTACTGTCCTCTTTCATTCTTTTCCCTCAGACACCTGTGCTGTGTGTCAAGACTGAGTCAAGAATAGCGGATGCTGCGTCAGAGGACGGTAGTTAGCGCGGCATGAGCCTGCGCCTAGACATGCCCCAGCACTCACCACGATGTGTGGCATTTTTAGGGGGAACTTGTTACGGCTGTGATCATGCCTGATCTAGCTGGCCTCAATGATGCCACGGCGCAAATTCAAGTGATGTGTTTCATTAGTGTGTTGCATTAGCCGAGAGAGAGATGGCATGCATAATTACCCACATTGCATCGGCCCAGTCAGGCAGCCGCGACTACCTGGACGCGCGTGTGCGCGCAGGTGGAAGTCCGTCAAGGGTTTGCAGGTCAGTAAATTTGAAAAAGCTGCTTTCGAAGTTGTGTAGCGTTGAGACAGTGGACACCGAACAATGAAGGCGGACAGCAATGTTAACTGTCCGCCACAGGTTAAGTAGACGGTCGGCTCAGAGAGAAGCTTATAGCGACGTCCGAACCTTTGTCCAACTTGGATTCACCACCGTAGTGACATTAGTATTAAACACATGAAGAACTGTGGGAAGCTGCCGCGAATTCAGATAAAATGTGTGAATATTCCATATTGACTACAATCACTTGCAGGACAAATTTGAAAATCCTAAGTTTGTCTGAATCCGGTGCTCCGCGCCGTGTATGATCGGAGGGAAGTATAAATGGATGAAATAAAGGCGCCTACCTTTACCGACTCAAGTATTGCAAGTTGGTTATATGGGTGACCGCTGGTTGGGTCCACTAACCAAGCCCAGGTGTAGTAGGTTGAAGCGATGAGCGGGTGGTTCTGGTACCTAAAACGTAATGGCGCTGATAGGAGCATTCGCTACAAAGAAAAC